GGATCGTAATTTGGTAGGGATCGTAATTTGGTAGAGAATCAAACTTGTAGATAAAGTTTGATGTAAAGTTTTAGTAGGTTATTTTTCAAGTGTTCAGCAAAAATTTTTCACAAATTTCAAGTAAATTCAATGTTATTTTATCAAAGGCGATAATTTCTGAGGAAAACAGAGTCATTAGATATACGACACTTGATTCTGTGAAAGATTCTCAGATGGAACTTGAGCCATGTTCACAACTTAGAAAATAATTTTGATGACTTTTATTGCAATATACATGCAACCATATTTCGTATGTTATTCAGATGACTTTAATTGTAATAGAAAAACATATTTTGTATTTTATTCAGAAGTTCTCCAAGCTGCACTCTCACTTTACCAACGGCTGAACTCAACAGGATAGCTCGTAGGAGTGAACACCGTCTTTATAATCAAGCTCAGGACAAGACATATCCTTTGCGACCGGATAGTAGGATGCTGTCACACGCCAAGGATACGTACCAAGATAACACACTTCGTTCTGGAACCTACAGAAATTCGCAGAGAAATCTCTAAAAATAGATGGTAAATGTCATTTAAGATGTTATTATTTGCTGTATTGCAATACCAATGTCGTCAGTCAACGTCAGTAAGTGATCGACGCTATAGATATTATAGCTTAGATTTCCGTTTTCCGTCACCCTATTTTAGATACGAGGAAAAAGTACGTTACTTCTGTGGTAACATAGTGTAATGCAATTATTGGACCATTTTATTACAACACTTCTCTTTAACTTCACTTCTTGTTTGTCTGTCTGTCTGCTACAAATCTTATAATCGATATTTAAACCACTTCTACCTGTCCAATCGATCTGAAATTTGGCAGACTTGCGTAAAGTTGGAGACAATGCATGAATCATTTGACAGAATAAATAACTTTATAAATAATTTTTTTTTCATTATAAAAGAAATTGAAAAATAATTTCGTCTGCTACAAATCTTATAATCCATATACGACGCAATTTGACCTGTCCAATTGATCTGAAATTTTGCACATTTGCATAAAGTCAGAGACAATGCATGAATCAATTGACAGAATAAATAATTTTGAAAATTTACACAACTTTGATCTCTTAAAAATATGTTGAAAAATATTTTTTTTTTCAATATTTGAAAATAAAATTAGAAATTCATTGTACATGTGTAACATCCAAGACACTGGATTGTTAAGAAGTGTACAAAAATATCAAATTAATCACGAATTTAAAAACAAAGAAAACTCCAGGGAAGCTATTGGAGCAAATTATTTAATTCATTGCATCCAAGTTTTCCAAAAATATTAATCATTTTGTGGTCGTCATTTCTTTCGTATATCATCTATTTTGTCATTCATCCTTTTCCGCCTAGTAGTAATATCACAGTTTTTATGAATTGAGCGGCGTTTGGGGTTAAGGATAAAAATCCTCCTACGCTTTCTGTGGGAACCATAGCTTCTTTTGCGATGATCTTTTCCGCTCCGAGGATAACATTTCACAAACTACGCTCTAATTTTAGGCTTGAGCATATCCTGGGAAACCACGTAATACAGGCTTTACGGCTTAAATAATCAGATTTAAGTAAAATCGGTTACTGAGGTTCAATGTGTTACGCAATAACATTCATATTCAAATTAAGAGTATTCTTTCTTTCATACATTTTTTTGCGTAAATTAGGCAACGGTTATGTTAAAAACTACGATAGAAGGTTTGAACGTTTATTCATATTTTTTAGTGAATGCTGTTTTACATGTTCTCCGCTTTAAATTACGATGCTATATAGCTAAGGAAAAACTCATCGTTCAACCCAGGCCGAGGTTGAAATGGCTGCATGATTATCACCACATGGTTTCGTACCACGCAACACCTCACCGCGATGCCAAATTACACACCAAAAGCGCTGCATCACACCATAAAGTATCGCACATCACTGCACCGTACCGCACCGTCCTGAGGGATCGGAACTACAGCAACACGGCAACACCACACCACACCGTACTGCACCACACCACACTGAGGGATCGGAACTACAACAAAACAACACCACACCGTACTGCACCACCACACTGAGGGATCAGTACTGCAACAACACCACACCTCACCGTACTGCACCACACCGTACCGCACCACGCCACACTGAGGGATCAGAACTGCAACAACACCACACCTCACCGTACTGCACCACAGCATACTGAGGGATCGGAACTACAGCAACACCACACCACACCGTACTGCACCACCACACTGAGGGATAGAACTGCAGATCTCTGAACTGATCCGAACTGCAACAACACCACACCACACCGTACTGCACCACCACACTGAGGGATAGAACTGCATATCTCTGAACTGATCCGAACTGCAACAACACCACACCACACCGTACTGCACCACGCCACACTGGGGGATCGGAACTACAACAATACCACACAACACTGTACTGCACCGCACCACACTGAGGGATCGGAACTACAGCAACACCACACCCCACCGTACTGCACCACACCACACTGAGGGATCGGAACTGCAATAACACCACACCACACCGTACTGCACCACACCACACTGAGGGATCGGAACTACAACAACACCACACTACACTGAGGTATCCGAAACATTTATAAATGAATGATCCACTACACAACGCTCCGCTTCAATCTCAACGTTCTTTTGAATCATTGTAGTCATATTTTATAGAAGCTAGTTCAGATAATAATATTAAAAAATACTCGAAAAAATGTGAGCTAAACCAAATAAAATGTTACCTAAAAATACTTCGTTTGGTTACTGAATCGTAATGTATAAATTAATGAAATTGTCTACGCAAGTTATGGCTATTACGAAAAAAAATTTCATGTAGCAAACGAAGAAATCTAGTAATAAATCGTATATTTTAATATAATATACATTATTTTTCAATGATCTCAACCGACTTATCAAAATACCTCGTAAACATTCAGTACTACCATTCCTATTGAAGTGACAATGGAGTTAATATCAGTAAAGTTGAATAAAGTACGGGCTATTATTATTGAAATCTGTGCGAACAAACACTTATTACTTCCGTGGGATATTAGTGACTAGAAAGGAAAATGAAAGCGACGTATTGCTGCAATTATGTCGTGAATGAAAAGAGACTGCTTCAATCGTTCCTGATTAAATGTATTCTAGGACACAATATATGTAGGATGCATAAATCAACTGAACGATCCCTGATACCATACCAATGCATTCCAAACATTCTCTTGTGAGATTATTGAATGCCATAGGGCACACTTTCAAGGTTCTAAGCCATAAGAACATCCTACCTTGCCACAGTCACCAATTTTAAATCTGCGCATTCCTTGGGTAAGCGTTTAGTGGTCAACAACAACAGTTGTGAATGAACAGGTGCGAAGTGAGGATGTGTGATGGAAGCTCTGGAATGTGCACTGCAGTTGTCTTCTCAAGTCGGAGCAAGAGTCTTACGAATTATTTTTGAACAGACGGTGCTGTTTACTTTTCTTTGAGAGTGTTTTACACGTTTTCTCTACGATTCCTTAAAGCGTATTGTTTTTACGAGTTTCAGATCGTGACATGAGACGAAGAGTTCGTGCTGGAAGCACTTTCTCCCGCAGTGATGCCTACATGTGCGCGGGGCGGAGAGCGTCAAGTTTTTACATTTGCCTATGTCAATCTGGATTTGAAAACACGTTTTAGTCATGTATTTTATTAACTATGTGCTTCAGGTTTACTGGTTTTGTAACGCGAATGATAAAAAAAGTGTTTGTAATGAAATGTGGCCAGGTAACGTAGCGTAGATAATTTTTTTATTTTAATTGACTTGAATGAGAGTAAACTTCGCTACGATCGCTTTCTAATCTAGCATCGTAGGTACAAACTATTAGTATTAGTAGTGTTAGTTGATTTGATAAATCTTCCCGTGTAAAAAATTGCCACTTTCCACGTCCTGAAATTGGTTTAGGCCTTAGCCTAGCCCTAGGGACTAGGGAGTAGGGAGTGCCAGATTTTAGTGCCTAAAAGTAAAATATTGTATTTAGGTAAGCTATTATTAAATTATATATTTCATATAATATTATTTTTGCATGCTTTCTTTGAATTTTATTATTTGTCTTATGCCTGCCTGGCCCTGTTAGGCCTGTATATATTACAAGGAGAAATTTAATGGACTAAAATCTAAATGGATTATCTTGAACACTCAACGCTCGACGGTAGTCACGGTACTATTGTCACTACGGTATGTCAGTATGTGCAATTAATTTGCCTTGACATATTATCATATTAGTATTAGTACCTACTCATAATTACTGGTATCTGAAATTATATTTTTAGTTATCATATATGATATATGTGATATACTAGAAGGAAGGTATTTCTCTTGCAAAAAGGAGGAAGGGCTCAAAGCCCAAGCCCCAAAGAGGGCTAATGCAGTAATGTAATGGGCTATCAATATGATACGTATAATTTTAGATTTTTATTGAGATTTTGCATTAACATTCTATTTGCAAATCCAAAATTTCTTTTGAATTTGAGAATGGGATTTATGAGAGAATTTTATGATAGGATTAGTAATGGGATTCATGAAAGAATTTCAGGATAGGATTAGTAATGGGATTCATGAGAGAATTTTATGATAGGATTAGCAATGGGATACATGAGAGAATTTTATGATAGGGTTAGCAATGGGATTTGTGAGAGAATTTCATGATGGGTTTCAAGAGAGAATTTTTGGATAGGATTAGTATTTGATCTTTCTCATCTAAAGAAGATTTTATTTTGAAAATTGGTAATTTTGGTAGGATTCAGGTTATCAAAATTTTCAAATCTTGGAATTATAAATTTATGTAGGGAATGCTGCTACTTAGGGACAGCTTAACTCAGGGTTAAGCTGCTAGTAAATATTGAAAGTTACAGAATAAGTGATTTTTAAAAGTTATAGAAGTTACATATCAGCTGACACAATGTTATTATTTACTGGCTTTATTTTCAGATAACCTTAAAGTATATGTTTAGCACTTTTGTACTTATTTGTTACCTACAGGGTTTTAAATCAGCCTTCATATTATTTGTTTCCTAATCACCATTTACATTAATTATATCTCATAAATTGAGCAAAATGAAGAATAATCCAGATAGATCTGGTGAGGATGAAGGGTTGCTTGAGAATGGCCTTCCACAACCTTTTGTTGAGTCCATGAGGACACTATTTGACATTCTTGATGATCAGCATACAGGACAAGTTAGGTTTTCAGGTGAGTGTTATTTTTATACAAATAGTATGTATCTGGTCCATGAATTTTAAAGAAATCTTCCAACTTAAATTTAATTTGATTGTAATTTTTCTTATTGTCTTGTACACATTCCAAAGATTTGCATCAAAGCTTTAGTTTGAAGCAGAATCTGATAATTTATATTTTAAAAAAATTGTATGAAACTATAATAGTGGTTTTCAAATGATCTAAGTGGAAGCTAAGATTATACATTAAATCAAATTGGAAAAAATTGATTGAAACAATAATGGTGTTATGTTTTGAAACAATCTAGTTCATTCTAGTCTAAATGATTTATTCCCTGCAAGTGTTTTTTTTTTTTTTTTTTATTTGGTGAATTGAAATTTTAATGGAATTTAAAAGTTATTAAAAAGTGTTTTTTTTTTTTTTTTTTAATTCCTGATGTAGAAGATTTATGTAACGAACAGTTGTCAATTTGCTTGTAATTTTTATTGTGGTTCCTTGTACATTATGGAGATTTTTTCCTGATGGGATTATTGTATTGAGCATAATGAGTGGCAAGTCTGATAGCAACTGGTTGATGGCATGTACTTCAGTCAATTTGGCTAGTTTGATTTTGTCTATCTGTATCTAGGGTGGTTTGACCATCCTGGCTAATGAGTAACTTTTTTAAAACAAAAATCAATTGAATAGGTATGTATACTTTGGGTAAAGAGACAGGTGATTTTGATTTCTTCATGTATTTTGTCTTCACTTTAAATGCTTTTTCCAGTTCACCTTATTCCACAAATTGCGAATCCTTCAGAGGATGCACTAAAATTTTTCCCATTTTGCAGACATTGAGCAAAGGTGGCATGAAGATGAGGATTGCAGTACCTCAGGTCTACCAGCCGGAGTCCTGGAAAGTCTACGAGTTGTAACTCCTCAAGATGGATATCTGTCATTCTCTAGATTCTGTAAAGGATTGCAGGTAAATTACCATATATGTATATATTTTGATGGGTATTATATAGTCCTTGGTTATCAATAAAAATGTTTTATTGGCTATAATGACTTGGAGTACTTGAATAAATATGGAAAAAGTTTAGTTGAAATTAAATGCCATTTTATTGCCTATTTTTCTAATTAGTACTTTTTAAACATTTTTATCAAGTATATTATTCATGCCAGTCTCCAATAATTGATAGTATGTTATCATCTATCTAGATTATATACCTATCTATTGTTACTGCATTTTTTTTTGTGATAAATCTAAAAGTTAAAAGTTTTGTGGTAAAAAAAAGGTAAATCTAAAAGTTAAAAAAATGTGCTTAAATTAAATAGAATGTTTTATTTCATATAATTTTTGAGCATGTCTTTTTCTTCAGATATGTCTGTTGAGAAGTAAATCAGGCAATCCATGTTTCACTCCCACATCTCTTGCTTCCTCTGCACAGTCTTCTCCCAGCAGTGGAGGGGTGAGCTCTTGCTACAGATGATTTTTTGTATGCATGAAACAACTTGGCTTGGGCATAATTCCCTAGTTAACAAATAGCTTGAGTAATACAATGCATTCAATTTAAACACTTGGAGCAGTTCATGCTCCTGCAATATGCAAGTTATGTAATTCTATATGAATTATTCATGGATTGTGATGATGCCATGGTCTTGTGTTGTAATTAGTTCCTGCTATCTTGCTTTGTATGTGTGTTGTGTTGATCTGCTTCTATTAGTGCCCACAGAGGCATTACATTAATTTGCTTGTTTTTCTTTGTTCTTGCAAGATTGTTTTTATTATTTGTTTTCTAGTTTTCATTATGATTGATATTTTTCATGCTTTTATTATTTTGCTTCAGTTTTGTTTGCTTGCATGGTTTCTAAGTTGCCTGTGAGTCTGTGACTATCACATATATTATGTTATCCTAGGAAAACTTGCGTTCAAATGACAGCCATCGGACTCCTGGAAACTGCCTGGCAAATCGTGATGAGCTCCCCCCTCCTGTCCCTCCACCTCCCTCTCAACAGGCTTACCCTTCCCCTCCTTCCCTGCCTTACCATTCACACGCCGGCAGTTCTACTAATCACTCCAGTACCAATGTTGACATGAAACGCTGCGTTCCTCATACTGCCAATAATTCAAGTAATGCAATGTCAGGATGGTCTTCTCAGCAACCAAAACCTAATTCAGCTACAACGGGACTTTACAGCGGTACCAATAATTTGTATGATGTGAAGAAATCTAAAGACGGACCAATTTATCAGCAGAATCCATCTTCAATGTCTATTGGAAAATATCACACAAATGGCTACTCCAACCCTGTGGATAATGGGCAAGCCAAGGGCAGTAATATTACTGGATCATCTCAATTCAGAAATTCTCACTCTACAAACCATGGGACTAGCAGCAATTCAATACCCACCTCTCCCCAAAAGAACTCTGCTAGTAACAATAATGGTCATTCAAACAATGAAGTTCATTCCACCTCGAGATCTGGTTTTGGACAGGTACAGAAAACAGATATAAGGATGGGTACAGGAGGAATGATGAGCATGTATGGCAATAAAGGTTCTTCATCAGGCAACTCCAATGTAAAGTCTCATATGCCTGGATCTTCTCAGGGGCCACCAAAGCCTCCAAGATCTTTAGAAGCTCCAAACTCTGAAAGTAATCTCATTACTACTGATAAATTCAATGGAAAAACGAATGGTTCATCAAGTCATTCACGGCAAGCTTATTCTGGACATAGGGTAGACAGTATCATAAATAAAATGGAAGCTCTTAGTACCTACGCAACCAGCACCAACACTAACAATAATAATTTGCATAAAGAAAAAATTTATGACATGGTTGCTAGTAAGAACAGGCGTGGGATTTCCACTACCATAAATGGTTACCAAGTAACGAGTAACAAATCCTCAAGCTCATCTAATCAGGTGCATTCATACGAAGGACGGAATGGTCATGAGACCACCAACTATGATCACCTAAGCTCTGAACGAATGAAGCGAGGAAATTCAAAGCCTTCAGCAATGGCATCAAGTAGTGGTGGTGGCCGTGCGCCGGCAGCTCTCCCTCTGTCAGCCGTTCTGAATGGTTACAGTCTGCAGCGCTCACAAACACATTCCCACATCACGACATGCAGTTTAGAGAGAGACTCCAGAGCTGATACATGGAGAGTATCTCAAGAAACTTCCTCAGGGCAGAGAATGCGGTAAGTTATGGCACTGTGAGAACCAGTTTTGCAGAGTTACTCCATAGAAGAACTGTCTTGAGTTTCTTACTTATACTCATGAATTGTTGAATTTGTTAAAATTCTTGCAGTGTTTTTGTTTTTTGGCTTTTTCCTTTGTGCCAGTTAATGCAGAAAATGTTCTTGTGATTTAATGCTTAGCTATTATTTTGCATGTTTTGTTCATTCTAATAAAAGTAATCACTGGTTAGTAGACTTGTATTGTTCATGATGTATTCCAAAGGACTTTCGCAACAAAGATCCAGGGATGAGTCAGAAAGATTTATAAATCAGTACAATGGCCATTTCATTTGAAATGAAACAGACGTTCTCGTTGTTTATCAGTAATCTGCATCATTCATGGACTGGCAATAATTCAACATCATATATTAAAAATGGGCTATGAAAACCACATGAACCGTTTGAAAAAGAATTAATGTAGTTGATCTTTGGCCATTAAGGTATACGAGTGTTCCAAAGGCTAGGTTTAATATCTTATTCTGTGCAGTACTCAACGAGGAGGCAGTCTGGAACGATTGCTAGATGATCACCACAGTCACAACAACCACAACCAGCTACTGCAACCTTACCATCACCACCACCCACACGGTCCGTCTCGTCACTACCACAGCAGGGAGTCCAGTAATGACACCTCTTCTACCGCGCCTCTTCACCCGTATCACTCCAGTGCCGACTGGAGCTCCCCATCCACCAACCAAAACTGGAACTCGACTTCCAAATCAGCTTATGACGCTCCTCCTCAGGTCGTCATGCCAAGCAAGAACCAGACTTCGAACGGAGAGACTTTCAATCAGCGCTTCCAGCAATCAGGGAATACGTACAACCAACCTCAAAGGCTTCCCCAGTATCCTCCTCAAACCGCACGCAAACCTAACCCTCGCGAGAGGGGCAGCGCGGCTCCGTTCGTGGCCAATCTCGCCCCGAATACGTCCCATAAATCTTCAACTGCTGTCAAGTACAGCGTTGTCACTGGCAACTCTGGGGGCAGTGTTGAGGTGTCATCTAGACGACCGTCCACTGATATTCTCTGTTCACCTCCTGTCTCTAATAAACTCGCTTCAGGAGGGTCTACTAGTGGAGGAAATATGATAGCCCAGCCTCTGACCACTACTGCTGGCGCTGTTGACAATAGGTACGTAATTGGATATAAATTGACTCGGGTTAACTTGCCTCAATTTATGGGAGTATTTCATATTAAATGGAATACTTCTAATGCTTCATTAATTACTAAGGACTTTGACCACATGAGTCATCTATCTAAAGACTTTTGACCAGAACGCTTCTACCAGTGCTTAATAATGGCCTATGAAGAGTTTGACATGCGGTTTTTCGCAACTATTGTTGTGAAAAACTTTTCGCAACTATTGTTGCTATACCATGTAATTGTGTACATCTTAACTCTCAAGTCATTGACACACGCAATAATCACTGATATGAATTTCAATATCTTAAATTTTGGTTCAAGTTAAGTGACTTATTCGTTGCAAATTTCAGACTGACGATGAGCAGCTACGCATGGATCAGAGGTGGCGAGGACACGAGCAGCAACAGCGGCGATGGAGGTTACTTTTCCTCTAACCCAGGCCCTCCTGTGGGACCTCCAGCACCTAGTGCCGCTCCTGTAGCTGACACTGACGAAGGAGGCACTGCTGGAAGCAGCAGCCGCGGGCATAAGAAGAGCCGCCGAAGGGATGCGCGTAGACATACACTCCAGAATGGACTTGATCACGCCACGGTAAGTGGTAATAAACTGCGCTCTGCAGACTATAAGTACTACGCGCTCTAATGCAGACTCGGTACACTCATAAGTTGGTCATGTATGCCAGTCGAAAATTGACGAATATATCACAGCGTTTTATGCTTTTATGTTTGCTTCTCTGTGGGCCTAGTCAAAAATATTGAATTCATTTATTTATCTTTTTTGTCTCTTCGAAATTCAGTTTTCTGTTAATTTTTCTGTTCATTCCCATCTTATCTACCGTATTTTACTTTATATTACTGTTGTTTCACTCGAACTATTGTCTTAACTAGTTGTAATTCTGAGATGACATCCGCCCCATTTTGTATTTCTTTGCTTGTTCTTTTCGTCACTGTAACACAGTGGTTAGCGTCACTGTAACAGTGGTTAGCGCCACTGCAACACAGTGGTTAGCGCCACTGTAACACAGTGGTTAGCGCCACTATTTGTGCAGTGTTGGCATCACTGAGATTAGAGGAGCTAGCCGTGGGTCCGAACCTTGGGAATCTCCGTTAATTTATCGGCATCAATGGTGGGCTGCACTTGGTAGCCGCCGATAGTGTTGCTTGCAGCATGACCAAGGGTTATCGTCCCTAAACGAACATTGGGTACGTGGGGATCTTTAAGTTTATTTTATGCTGCAGGTGCGGCGAGCAGGACAGCTGGAGGCGGAGCGTGACATGCTGCACCAGGGCCTGCAGGTGGTCGAGCAGGCACGCCAGTGGTACAGGACGGCACTCCACAACCTCCTCTACAACCTCCACCACAACACCAACGTCGTCCAGGTACAACGCTTGATCATGTTATGAAACTAATACAGTATTTAGTTATGAGAGTATTGATTGCCAATACTTGCTCTACAACCTCCACCATAACACCAACGCCGTCCAGGTACCGCGCTCGATCATGAAGCTGGTACTAAATTTAAAAATGAGAATATTAATTACCAATACTGAATGGAGATAGTGTCAAGGAATCATGGTAGACCATCGGTGGAGGTACCTCCAGTTTTTCTTGTAACTACGATATTTGACTTATTACATGTATTGTAACTAATTGAACGATCTTTGTAAGTACCCTACGAGTTTCAAAATACTTTATTGGGATGAAAGTTGGTAAACGCCGATGTTAGAAAATTCGGAGAAGATTCATAGTTGATTTTTAAATCGAAAATTAGCTCAATGGGCGGATAGATTTGTCTGGTAAATATAACCTTCCTTGTGATTAAAAATGCAAAACTCGTGAATTTGGCTGCAGCGTGGGTTTGATTAGAATTTGATACTGTAAATAACTTTCCAAATCGTGAAAATAGAGTCTGCAATTGTTTTGTTGGCTGTGGTAATAAACTGATGCTCAAGAACCTCAACCCAATCAGTATTGAGAGGCTCAAAAATTCCTTTATTTTTTGTGCCCTCAACAGCCATATGACAGCGAAGCCCAGCAACAGAAGCTTCATTATCAGCTCGCACGCATCACTGAAATCAACAGCCAACTGAACGCCCTCATGAGCGCCTCAGACATGCCCCATCATTTGGCTCTGGCGTCGTCGACGTCTTCTGCCCAAGGAGCTCCCACTGCTCCCCTTGAGGCCAACACAAGCCAAGAGAAAATCAGAATCGAGGGACAAGTCAAGAATCTTAAAGATCAGAACCACAAGCTTACTGAGGTGGGCTACCTTTCATGTACACGAAGTTTTATTGGTTTTTACGATTTCGTTTCGTGTGATAATTGTGACGGCATCAATGCTATGTTGTTAAAATAGTGCGCTTGAATTGTTAGATAGACAATTCAATAGACACTTGAATTGTTTGCAAACGGCATGTTTCAATGATAAATTTAAATAAATAAAACAGTTGTAATATTTATCGTGGTAATCATTTGGGGGATTTTCAAATTTCCAAAACTCTGAGAAGTAATTGAAGGACTCGAGGGAGAAGAGCCTTCTATCCCTCCTTTAAACTTCCATTATTTCTACGGTTGCAGCGAGTTATTGTAGTTTTATAGATTTTTATCTCGTATTTTAGCACTAGAACCTTTCTTCTCAACTTATATCTTAAGAAAATTCCTGTCTTAAGTGGTTAATTATGCGTGCAGGAGGTGAGTCTCAAGAATCAACATATCTCTGTGCTGGAACAAGACAAGAGTCGCCTTCTGCGCGAGCTTTTCCAAGCCAGGAGCCTGAGACCCGGCAACGGCCAGTCCAACAATCAGGCCGATAGTACATTCATGTGAATGCCGACTGTACATTCGTGTGAACGCTGACTGTAAAGTAATGTGAATGCTGACGATACCTTCGTGTGTATGCTGACTGTACATCCATGTGAAGGTTGGAGGTACCTTCATGTGTATTATGATGACATTCGTAGGAATGATGACGGTTATGTTTAATGAATGATCACAGTTTCTTCGTGTGAATGACGAACTTCCAATTAAATGAAATATGAATGCTGAAAGTGCTTCATCTGTGGTTAGTGAGACTGTGCTGGCAAATAAAGTTGAGAGCACCGCATTTTAATGCTGGTGATTGACGACCGTTTTTGTACGTACTGAAGATCGGAGTATTCCAATGCGTAACATTAACACGATTCATGAGAATTATGCAATGAAAATTTGTTGCTCACTCTTGCTGAATTTAGATTAATTTTAATATAAGGAAACATGCTGGTTATTTCAGGCATGTTTCCGCAAATATGAAAACGACGCATATTATGCTAAACTTGTTTTTTGTTTTCTTTGAAGGTCAGTACTTCGATACAGGATTGCAATTGCGAAGTCTAAAGAAAGTAGTGGCTTCTACTGTTGCTCCTTGTGCTACACCCGTCGTCTTTTTTTCCTTCATTGATCAATTCTTGAATTCTCAATTATTTTTATGCTCCGTTAGCCATTACGTTCATTCACCAGCAGGAATGACTGCCCAGTTTCCATGTTCTGTTGCTATTTCTTAAACTGTGCCAAACTTTCCGAGCTTCTAGTGCCATAACTGTAACGGTAGCACAGCAACCTCCTCAAATTATCTAATATTTGACGACAGATATTTCTCATACTATAACTGAGTAACGACTTATGTTTTAGTTAAAATACTTCCATGAGGGTTTTTAGTGCATAATTACTATCCTTCGAGTATCTACGCTTTTGGCAAGTTACTCTAGTGTTGTAGGTTTTTATCGCTTTTTAGCACTAGTTATTAATTTGACAATACTAAATTCTCCTTAATTAATACTTGGAGAATATCGCGTGGTAATGTTGGCCGTAATTGTGGAATTTTTTATTAATTATTAACTTGGCCGTCTAATCTGAATTAAGATAGACGTGTATATTTTACCTGATAGTTGTCTGTATGGTGAATTGCAATACATTCCATTAGCTCTTAATATTGGTTGTTGTGCTATTGAATGTTTTACGGGTTGATGGTTTTAGCTGTTGCTGCGATAAATATCTTATCGGCTTGTGACCTTTACTTCTTTAATAATGTTAACGATCTCGAATAGCGGATTGGTGCAAGTGTGTTCCATGACTACGAATAAAGTAACTTAAGTGTTCGGTCGTTCATGCGAAGTATATCAATGTATCGCTATGTATTGATATGCTTAGTGCCCATTATAATCAGAAAGCACAAGAACTTGTTGCGCGCTTTCTACTACTACGTGTAAAGGCAAGAGGGACTCTAGTGTCGCTACAAGCTTGAGGGATTGAAGTTAAATGATTTTTTCTCTTAGTTAATCGCGACCTTAGCGTTCAGTTGAATTGCGTGATCAACGAGATTAAGTTGTTGGTTTCCGTCTCTGAATTTTAGTTTGTCATCCATAGCCACTTCATAATTTACCGTTTTTTTTTTTCAATAGCAAGATTTAGTAAAATCTATTGAATGTATGATAAGTTACCAGATTCCGTCCTATGCATCAAACAATTATCACGCAGCAATAGCATGAGAGGAAATAACTTGATCTTTTACAAATAACATTAGAGCGACGCATCCATGACGTGTCAGCATGTTGTGATTGACAGCATTGAATACAAAAGTCATTTTTCAAATTTACAATGCTTTCCGAATTAACAATAGAAATTTGAGATTTTAGATGCTTTGAAATAAATTGCTTTGAATCGTTTTTCTGCTATGACTTCTCTACCTCGCATCATTACGAGTGGGAGAAAGAAAATTTTCCAGTATAAGTAACGAAGTAATATTAAGTATCAAGATATAAAATTTTATGAAAATACTATTTCGCGCCATCATCTGGATTACACTTTTCGTGTTCGAGCAATAAATTATGAAGTAGTCTATCAAATTAGAGATGAATTAACTAAACAGGACACTACGAAGCTCGAAATAAAATGAAGTAGACTACAGTTGCAACAGAAATATATAGAATAATAATGCACTAATAAATAGAATAATAATTGTATTTTCCACGGAAGAAGTCTCAACTGAAATATGAGTGTTAGAAACAACTAGAGAACAGTTAGAAGTTAAGATAACAATCAACAAGTTAAAATTAATCTCAACATACGAATAAAGTAAAAATAAATAATGCGATCTATAACAACGGAAGTATAAATTGCAAGAAGACAAAGATAACATAAGCAACATTCGGAAAATCTTAAATCTGAAAGGAAAAATGAATTTTTTGTATTGAGTATTGCACCTGAAATTGGACATGGTTGAGACGTGAAAAATTGCCATTTCGTGAAGGAATTCAATATTCCGCGGCTTTACCGTAACAAATTCTAATAAAAATTAGGAAGTAAAGTCCGCACACACGTTTGAAGATCTGCCCGACCAGGCAAAGGAAGTTGGAACCACGTGGAATTCACCTTGATTCTATAAAATAACAGTTCCAACGTTGATTTAATATCGGATTGTGGGGCTGCACTGTTGAAATGCAGCTCAAGGTCCGAGTTCAGCATTCAATATGAGTTAGCTGCTCGTGGGTAATCTTGGAGTAAAGCTGGGACATTGCTGTCAGGACAAAGCCTACGACACTTCTATGCATGTTTGTATATTTCAATGTAGTCGTATAATCATTATTATTCTTATTAAAAAACAACATAAAATGTAAATAAATAAAATTTATAATGTTAGTAAGAAAAAGTAAGTTAAAAATGAAGAGAATTTTTCTCAATCATGAAGGCGATGCGCAACAAAAAGTTTCGAAAATTCCGCTGAGGTGAGAACTGTGTGCGGGGTTTACACGACGCCAAAATGAACAACTTTAACGGTACCTCCGCCCTCCTCTTCTTCCGTTGAAAGATCTGCAATGAAAAAAAGTCACATACATTAATAACTATACACAGTGGTCTACAATGTCTTTAAAGCGATAGTCTATTTTAACCTGAAACAATTATATGAAATTATTGTTCGGGCCACAATATTCTCGCCAAATCATGCAATTCACAAGAATGTGGACAAGCAAATATTGATTGCTCACCTTGATACAGGCTCCTGTTCATTTCTTCGTCAATAGTATCTTCATTGTAATAACCAACATCCATAGGAAGAGTCTCTTTGGGGACAAATGAGGATTTTTCAAAGGTATTAGGCACTGACTGCAGAGTTCTTAATGCAAGATTGTGGGAAGCCCCTGTTGTATTTTGACTACTCTCAGCAATACTAAGGGTGTGGTTTTTTGGATCGGAATTTTGAAAAACATTTGACCCCACAGTCGTTGGAACAGCTTTTAAGTCAGGCTCATTGGCCATGGATTTCCTGACAGAATGTAATGCTGCAATAGCAGAATCGGCGGCATCCATAGCATCCGTAAGATTTCGTTGGGACCGACGATTTTTAAATGGAATATTGACTTCCTGTTTTTTCTTGTCATGCCGAGACTTGGGAGCGGCCACATGACTATGTTCGAAGTGACATACTTCTATCTCTTTCCCCGAATGACGATGCTCAGACACGGCGCTCTTGTTTTCTAGAAAAAACTCTTCGCTCACGGACGAGCTTTCGTTGCGTTTGCGAGAGTTTGTTTTGCTCTTGCGGTGGCTCGACCGTTTAGTGTTGCGATGGACATTTATGAGGCTCTCGTTCTGAGTTATGTTGATAGTTACTTTACCGTCCATAGACGTTATTGCGCTCACTGGATTACCGGACGATTTCGAGTAAGGATCACCAGTTTGATCAGAAGATGTCCCAGAATTTTCCAGAGGCCCATAGTGACGCATCGCATTTGATTGGGTGTTAAGAACTGTAACATTTCTTGAGTTACTATACTGGTTGGCGACGAGCTGGTGAGCAGAGCTTGGAACGTAAGCGTCATTATATTGTGTGGTTGGAACGGCGCGTGTGGTTTGAAGATCATCTTTTAGATCGATTTTAAAATTCATGTCATGAAGTTGAGAAGACTTGGTCGAGTTTTTCAAAACCGTAGTATGGGAAAGCGTAGGTTTGAGGCCACGAATCACATTTTCTGGCTTCGGAACATTAGCTGCTTTCAAAGTGCCAGAGTTCGAAGTGAATTCCGTGACATCATTTGAGGTTCCAGAAGGATTAATTACAGAAGCGGTACGAGTGAAATTATGGGAAGTGTAGGGTGGCGGGTCATAGTAAGTCATAGTGGACGAGGCTACGGCCTCTACTGAAGAAATATTCGAGTCTCTCGGCAGGATGGGGGCAGGGACAGGCGGAGGAACACTCGTGGGCTGCTGGACGAACAATGGTCGGTCGGGAATCTGCGGTCATGAGAACGCACAAATGAGATCAGCCAACTGAGTAGATGGAAATAAAATTACTGAGAGGCTAGTGTCCCTAAAATACCAACATTTCGAATTTGTTATTTGGCTTAATTCCAAGACTTGCAATACGGTTTGTATTTTGTGTCCACATACGTAACTGCTACTGACAGAATGACTTGCAACTCACAGCGCGAGCGTCGTCAGGGGTTCTGGAAACTCCGTCGTGTTGCGAACTTCCAGGGCCTGGAATATCATTGATAGGTTTAAATACTTTCCAACTTCAATTTAATCTCACTATTTCAATTAGTATGGTTAGTATAGGTATTGTTGGCTGCAACATTTCGAAGATTTTGAGATGTAATTGACTGTCTTGGTTTAAATGGATTTGTATAACTAATACGGTAAATAGGCAAGTAATTTTGAGGTTAGTTACAAACTCCCTACACGAAACAAGTTTCACTGTCTCAAATCGATATAGATAAAACGGCCAAGTAACAGCAGTCGTCTCTGAAGATTATATGCCTAAACTGAGAGGCAATGATGCATTTCAGCAATACCCAACCACAGAATTGAGACTATTTGATTTGAATCAATTCTGCTTGCAATCGTCGCATCAATGCCGCTTGCTGATGGGCAAACAATGGCACCAACAATAACAATCATAATGTTTTTCTTACCTTCACTTTCGCGCCCATCCCCACCCTGGCGTTCTCCACGCTCCTCCAACCCTTCATGTGAGTCTGAGTCACTGGAAGAGTCGGAGCAGGTGGAGCAAGACTCAGAGCCACTGCTGCTGGTGCTGCCGTCTGTACAGCTGGAATGTGAACAGTCCTCATCGCAGCACGAGCTGCCGCTGCTGCTGCCAGAATACGAGCTGCCGCTGTGCGAGCAGCTGCCAGAGCCTGAGAAAACGAATTACTGTACAACCTAACCTGATAAACTGTGCGTTTAAGTAAATGAGTACTCGCCTGTGAGTGAGATGAAAAGAAAAGGACGTGTGAGTGATGTTGAGGTATTGACGTAGAATATGTGAGTGGGGAGGCAAACGAGAAGAGACGTGTGGGTGATATGAAGAGTGGATACAACAAATGCATGAAGTCGCACGTGAGATGGGAACGTGCTTGTGATGTGAAGTATTGATGACACAATAAATGTGCGAAGAGACAGGTGAGACGGGAACGTGCGAGTGAGTGAAATTCATGTTTAAAGGAATGGAAGAAGGACCGAAGCCACTGGTCTGGCAATGGCGGCATTAGACATTCCATTTGACTTTCGGTTCGGGAAACTCCGATTGCAAGAATTACAGCGTCTATCTTAAAATTTATAACTCATTTTTAATCAGTATTGTACTCAGAATTTTGAAAAGGCTATCTGATTGAGCTAATTATTTTCAGCGAGACTAAAATGACATATAAATATGGAATCTTCTTGAACTACAAAAAGAAAAAAAGCCATGGATTGTAAACTTATAATATATGGCAAACAGGCAAAACATGACGGGCGCCATCTTATAGTTGCGTACCGGACTTAAAAATAACGTGATTGTTCCAGGAACAATCCATAAAATATAGTTAGCCGTCTTTGAAATTAGCAATAATTTTAGATTAATTTCATCTCGAAATTTATTGCAATTTAATAAATTATTGAAAGTTCTCATGTAATCCTCACAAGAAGACGTTGATGAGGAGCGGAGGCTGTTTGCGTGTCGCAGAGACTGCGCTGCGAGCTGCGGTAAGCCCGCCCGCTCAGCGGACCGGTGCAGCCTGACAAAGCAGTCGGGGTCACCCAGATCCTGGGCCAGAGAGAACGCAGACTGCAGGCACGCACTCCTGAGAACAGACAAGCATTAGGTTGTCGCTTCCCTGGAAAATTTAAATATTTATACAAAACAACCTGGGGCAGATGAAAGAAGGCAAAGAAGACTTCTTGATGACATTAAATTTTCAAACTGGTCAAGAATCATTTAATTATACGTGTATTACAATTAATAATTATAACAATTATAATTACAATTAACTAATTATAATTAATTATACGTGTATACGTATTATTGACCAGCGTAATTAAAATAGCGTTAATCGTCAGAGATGTGATAAGGTCAATAAGGCTCGTTTTTCTAGTGATAAATATCCTTGAAAATATTTCTAGAATTTTAAAAACTATATTCTTGAGAATTACCAAACGTCAAGGTCAGCCAGTGAAGAAACTTGCTTGCGTTGCAATCCGTTTCAAGAATATTGAACTCCCAAGCATAAGGACATACCTTTCCTGAGAATAAAATATTTCTTAACTTGCTTTAAAAGAACGAATAAAATTATACCTAACCTATTTTTATTCACCTGAGTAACTTGAAGAACAATCGTCGGGCAAGCGCTCGCACAGGAGGGCCGTAGAGCTCTTCAGTGGCAGGCGTGAGGTGTGCCGATGGTGAGAGAAAGCCCGAGGATAAAACAGCGGCCGCATTCAAGATACGAGTTTCCCAAAGCCCAGGAGACGAATTTAGTGATGGTACCGTGAGAGCGGATGTTCTGTCTTGCCCGTCATCTTGTGCTGGAGAATGCGGAGTTACACTATTTGAAGGTCGGGATATTTGTCCTCGTCTAATGATGTAGTTGACGACACTGCTGATGCATTTCAGAGCAGCACCACCATCTTGTTCCCAGCACAGAGACCTGCTGAGGTTGATGGCTTCTTCTACTTGGCCGTGACGAAGATACTCGCCAACTAGGACGTCCGGACAAATGCTGCAGTAATGAGCAGTCAAGCCTTGGTCGTCCTTTGATGCATGACCAGATGAATTTCCTGTAGTATTCTGAGAACTATTTTGGTTATTAACTGAACTCTTGGTAGCAATAGAGCCCGAAGAATTGGACGTGGTTGTGCCGTAAGATATCTGCGAGGTGTTGTGCGAATCCGAGTCCTCGGTGTTTGGGCTTAGTGAAGACGAGAAGCTGAGGTCATCCAGCCGAGGGTTGGACACGGGATGAGTGAGTGAAAAGTGAGGAGCATTGAAACGAATGCAAAGCAACGGACCTCGCACGTACTGCAACACCAGTAATAAGGAAGAATGTTGCTCCCGGACGTCCAAGTAGCGCTTCACATTAGCGTTGTAGTTTCGTTTTGTGTCACTACAACTGAAGACGACCGGAGCGGGAGCCCAAGAAATATCTCGAAGAGATGGCTGGTGGCAAAAATAGTCAGCAAAGTCGAGCAGACGAAGTGGCAGCCCATCTTCTCCTCCAAGTTGCACCCTGACAAGACTCAGAGCCATGTCAAAGAACTGGACTTGTCCTCTGTCATTAGCAACAGCAAGTAAAGCCCCAGGCTGCAGCCAGGTGACGTGCGTGGGGCTGAGAGCGGCTCTCGTGAGGTGCGTGGATGCATGCGAGTGCAGCGCAAGGACGCCGTTGTTGCATGCCAAAAACAGTCGGTCCTCCTTTGGGCTGTAGCTGTGGCTTGCTACCGGTGCCTCCAACGGGATGGTTGTGACGGAAACACGCTCTACCTTGCTATCTCCAACCTGAAAATTTACATAAAGACTTGATAAAATGAAAGTCTGTTTGCTCAAAGTCAATCTGGGAATTATGATCTCCACTAATGAATGCTATCATAAACAATTCAAAATCCTAATTGAGGTCACATAATAGGTACTAATAGTTCTCATATATTACTAATGCAATGAATATAGTAGAGGGCAATTCGTTTCAAGCTTGCAATCCTTAATCAAACGTTAAATCCTGCACATGCTCCTTTCATAACACACATAACTCACCTTATAAACCACAGAGAGAACACTGACGCCACCCTTCTTGTCAAAGCCTTGCTCAACACTAAGCAAAACATTGGCGTCTCTCGCGCTGAACGCAACACTGAGGGGCGGCAAGTGTGACCGCGCATGCCCGAACAAAGACAGCTGACCGCAACGAAGACCATAAATAAGAATGTTTGCTCTGTCCCTGCAGTCACGCTCCAGAGGAGACCAAGGATAAACTTCGTCTTCGGATCGCTCCCACCACACAGCAATCTGCATAAGGTTGTACAAAAAATGAATACTGCGAATTTTCAACAAAAGATTTCTTCAGATAATTTTCAAAGGAGCACAAATGATCTGATCCAATATAAGCATGATACATCACTACAGTGCAATTAAATACAATTGCAATTATATTAACTTCATTGCATTTGAAGCATCAACACACCATGTCTCCCGTAGAGTTAGCAGAAATTTTCCTCTGAAAGCGGCGGCCATGAGGGCCAGCGAGCTGCGCAGTGTAAAGGGCAGGATGTCGTGAAGAGAATAAAGGCGCCGTGTAGCCTGTCGTGGAGTCCCCGGTCTGGGAGAGTGGCAGTGGCAAGGCACATGGAGGAGTGTAGGCATCCATGTGGAGCACTGACACGCGGGAGTCATTGTAAGTGATCACCAGATGGTTTGATGTGATAGCAGCTGCAAAAAAAAATCAGCAACTTAATTAGTTTTGGGGAGATTAATTTCAACTTTATGAGTTATGGTAGTCCAGAAATTTTAATTTTAATTCTTGAGAAAGCTAAGCTTTTTACATCGTATCTCATTTGTATTGTCTATCTCGGCAGGTTTACTAGCAAGGATTCAATTTCTGGGCTTTATGAATTGAAATTCTGACCGCGATCATATTGTCCTCCACTAGTCTTTGCGCAACTCCACTAGGTATGGCTTCAAGCACACAGTAAAAGAAATAATTTAGAAGAAATATTGAAAAAGTAAAATTGTTGAAAATAAACATTTAACTGTGGTGCATGTCAAGCAGTTTCTTAGTGCAGCTACAGCCATTGTTCATGTCATGGCTCACAGTGACAATTTTTTTACTTCAAAATTCACAATGAACTTCACTCATTTTCCAGTCGCATCAGTAATAAAGCATAAATATCAGCAGGATAAACTGCAATGACTAATTTGCTTCAGGGTTAAACGATTGATCTCACAATCAAGGTAAAACCTAACCATGAGCAGGGTGTTCAGAGAGCAGCTTGCCAGTCATGTACTTGTCAGAAGTCAGACCACGCAGATCGCCTGACACGGCACTGAGCAGAGCTGTACACACAACACCAGACGCCAGCACCATCTGTTCCACGTCGTCCAGTGTTACAGAAATGTGCACAGAGCATATATATTACATCAATGACGTAAAATCATTTTTTGTACACATTTCACAAAATCAATGATTTTTCTACATAACTTCTAATCTTAATAATTTATATTCTAAATCATGGCATTTGTCAGACTGATCATGAATAACAATATAATCCTGAGCTGTAAGCATATGATCTAAATGTCTCCGGATGCAGAACATATTACATTGTGCAATTGCCAGCAAAATAAGCGTAGTAACAGCAACAAGAAAGCATACATAATAAACTCTGCAAGGTTCATGATGCTGAGCCAGAGCTTCATGTGCGTCATCAGATGGTGTGGCAAACTCGGTGCTAGTAGCACCCCAGCTACTCCACACCACCTGTTCTGCTCCCAGCAATTCCTGCACATGATTCAATATAATTTCAAGTGGAATCTTAAAAACAATATAGAGCTGAATTTGCAGGAAAATTTGATGTTACAGTACATAATAGATTGGAATCTGCTGAAAAAATTTTTACATTTAGGCTCATACAAAATTTACACTGAATTGATTTAGAGCTCAAGCAAGAAATGTCATGGTTAACCGTTTCCCTGGGAGAAAGAAGGATGAAACTTTAAAATAAAAATAAAGAAAAATAAAATACAATTGTGTAAAGGAAAATTAATGTATTTTTCTCAACCATTATCCAATAATTAAATATGGTATAGGCATATACTTGCCTGAAAATTTGATGTCATCAAGAGAAACATTGGATGGCAAAAAACTTTACAAAAAATGAGCAAAAGCACTTTCTGGGCCGGAAGAAAGCCCTTGACTGAACCCATTAAAGTCAAAAATTATATTCTGTAGCAAGTGAATAGATGCATTTACCTCAAACTCTTTTATGGCATCTCTGAGACGAGTGGGGCGACTGTTTTTAGGAGCAGCACAGCCTCCTCTTGCCTCAATGTACCGCTTTTTTTCTTCATAATAGATACGCTCCTTCCTAACAGCAGTCTTGTCTTGATATCTGAATGGGTAAAAATCCATTGGTTACCAATTCAGGCAAAATGCATGGTCAAAATTGTTCAAATGAACACAATGAAAACATTTACATGAATAATGGATAATTTATACCTAGAAGCATCAGCTGCTAAAATTTGAGTGATTTCACTAGAATTTAGCACTAATTCTATTTTATATATTTTATTATAAAATATTAAACATATAAATAATTTTCCCAATGCACCATCATTCAATTTCAATGTGTCTTGACCCAAATTCTTGGCTATGAACCTTTGGGAAGGTTGAGGGCTTAAAGAAGATCTAGTACAAAAAATTCTCAATAATACTGGCAGAATTGTGTTTCTGAAATAGAAATCTTAATTCTTAGAGTTTCATTTTATCTGAGTTGACACTTTGAGCATGGCATCATGCAGGCCATTTAATTGCATTGAGCATGGTTACAATACTGAGTTCCCTTAATTTGTCATCATAGGGTGTCAATATCATTGGCAATCATGGTAGAAATTTGATCCAAAATACAATTGTACCTGACAGCTGAAAAATCAGCATCTCTCACAACAACATCTTCTCTTAGACTCCAGACTCTGACATCTCCAGTGAGGGTAGCCATGTTCTCCACTATCTGCCATCAATTTTTCTGTTGAAGTATATAAAGAAATGCAAATTTATAGAAGTAAAATACAAATTTAATTAAAAACCATTAATTATTCACATAATTATTGACTACGGTATTTGTTATTCAAAGTCTAATGAACAGTCATACACAAAGTATTTATTATACTGAACTCATTTCAACTCAAGTTACCTAACTTAATACTAGCATTATGTAATACTACTAATCTAGTCTATTATCAATGACATATAACTTATAACTATAAGTCACCATTCATGGCACTTGCCACTTAGCACAGTCAAGAGTCTCAGCAGATATTGTATTGCATTTAATATAAAGACCTGCTTATCAATAAAAACCATTACATATATTACTGTTTGTCCTGATACGGCCAAATTAATGAGCTAACTGCTAAGCCTAAATGCTAATTAGTAATTACTGATCCAGATCAGATCAGACATTCAGACTGACAGAATTTCAAATTATTATCAGAATAATGATTTGAAGGGTTTGATTGCTACATAACTATGAATTTTTTCAATTGCACTGGAAAATTGGGACTCAGTAACCTTGGTTTTGTTAATCAAATAGATTGTTTTTTGAAGGCTGCCTTGGCAGACTAATTCATTGGCTGCCAGACAGGAATAATGGGCAGATTTTTTAGAATACCGCGGGTGACAAGAGGCTCTTCAAGGGTGAAGTTGGAACATCGCGGGTGCAATTTTCGTCCTCCCGGGTGCTTCTCGAAAATCGCGGGTGAGTATTTACTGTTCTCGGGCAATTTTACGAAATAGCGTGTGAACAGCTGCGACCTACCGTCTCTCAACTTCTCACACCGAGCTGCCGAACGAGAGGTGCCGCGCCATAGACCAGCAAATTACCTCAAATCAGCCCCGGAGCCAACATCAACCTTCTAAATGCTATTGATATAGTCATCCTGGCAGTGGCACCTAAGCAGCTGTACTCAATTGACCCATCGTACCTCACAAACTTTGAACCAACAATGCTTCAGCTCACAAGCTGCTATTCCACATAGTTAACGGTTGAAACGTCGTTCTCCAATAACTTTCAACCGACACCATCACCTTGAAGGATTGGATCGTCGGCAAGCATATGTATATGATACTCGTATGTCGGATGGTTCTACAGGCAATTAAGTTGAGAACACTGGTTGTCGAGTCGTTACTATGGAGTTCTTAAGAAATTAATGCAGTAGTGAAATAGATAATAAATACGATACAAAAGTCACTTGTTTTAATCGTATAACATAAATAATCTTCAGAATACTTCAAGCCGGGTGGCCCTGCAGTTGTTAAAGCTCAAAGTACCAAAATTGGAGCAGACATGCGCGTGTTCGATACAGCTCTGAATGTGCGCCAGGGGAGCACAGCCGTGCACCACCAATTTTGTGCACCAATAAGCCCTGAATCGAACGCCTTGTATCTCTCCGGACATCCACCAATCAGCCGTGAACCACTCGGCTTTGTCTTCCTCCGGCCACGCATAGAACCTGCCGTGCACCACCAGGCCGCGGATCGAATCTGACTTCCGGGCATCGTTAAATTACGTAATTTTACGTTCACCGCATCTGAGGTTAGGTTTCAGATAGTATAGTTCTGTTCCAAAATTTATCGTCCTTCAACAAGTGTCTGTTCGATCGAGGGCTGGTTCGACTCACGGCCTAGAGACGGACGGCTTGAATTGTTGAAGGCTACGTTCTGGAAGGCAGGAATCATGATGGTCCATTACATCCAGGGCAGTGGTGGTCTTCGGCAGGCGACCCGTGCGCCAGTTTCTGGTCAGAATCGACGAGGAGCAGTCAAGCAAAACTTGGAGCAGTGAGTTGCGCGTTCGAGACCGCAACAAGCTGTGAATGTTCTGCGTTGTTAAGAATAGGCGACAGGCATATGGCCTCATAAATGCTGAAACTGTTATATTTATTATTATCGTATTTCTTTTGTTTATTGTTAACATCTGAGCATACCGCCTTCAATTTGCTGGGCCGTATGTATCCAACTTGGTCAAATGGCCGCGTATTCTTAAACATGTCAACGTATTCTTATAATCGTGTTCTAATAATATAAGTGTTCTGAAGGTATTCCTAATATTTTTAATAATATAAGTGTACATGTATTCCATATATTGTATTCCTAATATTCTTAATAATATGAGTGTCCCCGCATTCTTATTATCGTATTACTAATATTCTTAATAATATAAGTGTCCACGTACGGTATTAAAGTATCGTATTCCTAATATTCCTTATAATATAAGTGTCCACTTATTCTAATTATCGTATTCCTAATGTTCTTAATACTATAGGTGTCCACGTATAATATAAGTCGTATTCCTGATATTCTTAACAATATAGTGTCCACTCATTCTTAATATTGTATTCCTGATATTCTTAATAATATAAGTGTCCACATATTCTAAATATTGTATTCCCAATATTCTTAAGAATATAAGTGTCCACACATTCTTAATATTGTATTCATAATATTCTTAATAATATAAGTGTCCACACATTCTTAATATCGTATTCCCAATATTCTTAATAATATAAGTGTCAATGCATTCTTAATATCGTATTGCTATTGTTCTTAATATTCTAGTGCTGGTCGCCAGATCGTTGCTATGAAATTCTTAAGAAATTAATGTTTTAGCCAAATAAATTATAAATACAATACAAAAGTCACTCGTTTTAATACGGTGAAACCTTGCTTATCTTTAACTTAATTTGAGTTTGTACGAATGTGCTTTCATTTTGTTTAGTTCAGCTGATCAGCATGTTCGTACTTCTGTGTTCGTTCGATTAAATTCTTATTTTACTGGATTTACTCCAGTAGTTGAACCCGGTAGGGTTTGTGTAGCTCCATGGAGCTTCATTGCTAATCTTTGACTACCAGCAGTAGAGCTCTGCTTTAACTATGCATGCTTGCATGCCGTGCTTTAAACTATTAGTTACAAACGAACACGCCTCTAACTATTTTCACTATTTCCTTCTTGTAATTCTCTATGAGAACTCTTATCTAAGATTCCTCAACAGTAACAAATAGGTTAGTTATATTCATTTTGCCCGTGTCACCATTGATTGAATTTGAATCTTATTTGATTATTGTGCTGAAATTAATTGCATTATACTTTAGTTCAGCCATTTATAGGTATGATCTATTCTCATCCGTCTGTTCAGATAAGAATCCTCCCCACAACCTCCTCGTTCCGATTGGTCTTCAGCCCTGCTGCTAATTCCTTTTGTCCGGCTGCTGACCTATGACTCGATTCATTAATACGTTTTGTTGCCTTCGGCAATTTGGTGAGAACTAGTGAGGGAGAGAGAGAGATGTTCATAAAGTGAAACAGTGACTTATTCCGTGCTTTAAATATTGTGATCCTTAGATTCCTAATTTTCGATCCATTTCTGATACCTGTGAATTATCCTGCAGTGCGACCAACAACTCTTATCGTTTCCCACTGCGTGAACTTCTTCGTTTTACGAACCTCTTCAATAAATCTTCAACGCTTTCGAAATTGTTTGATTCCCATTTGTAACTAAATTCCAATAGTGAGTTGCGCGTTCGAGACCGCAACAAGCTGCGAATGTTCTGCGATGTTAAGAATTGGCGACAGGCCTACAGCCTACTAAACGCTGGCACTGCTATTATTATTATCTATTATATAATTGTAAATTCATAGGCATAGAAATTGCACAGCGGAGCTAGGTAATATTACTATGCGTTGAAGATGCTAGATAAATTAATTAACCCCATGTCATGTTCCAATGCTCATCTTTGTCCCCAGGCCTATGTTTTGTACATGGAGAAATAATAAAACCATCTAATCCTTGAACTTGTACACCTCCCTATTATCCTACAATTACGGAAGCTATCTACCAACCAATTCAATAAACTATTGAATTTGTCAGTAATTGTGTAAAAAATATAATTGAAATCAACACGAATACGTATGGTAATACGTAAAGCGAATACGTACGGTAATTAAAGTAATGAATTAGAACCATCTGGAACTCGATTGTTCAAATTTATTGCCGAACATTTCCTTTCTTTACCTTATTACCTTAAAGAACAATTTTGATGATGATTTTTTTTTCAGCTGTGGAACCCAGCATGAAGAAGGTGGTCCCACGATGATCAATGGAAGGTCCTGCATCATCACGTTGTGATATGTTGCCGTCTGATGAATACAATATATACAATGGAGTAGTCAATATTAATTATACGTTTTTCAAAGGATTTCTGAATTAATTTTCATTTTCAAACAAATGTACTAAATCAGTTTTGACATGTATCGCTCCACTCATGAGCACTAAGACAAATGGGTGGGTCTGGATGACCCACTTTGATGAGTCAATTATGTCTGAATGTCGATCCACCCATTAAATTTCAGGCATGACTCTCTTGTGGCATCAAATTGCCTTTGAAGCCACCCGTAGCAGGGATAACTAGGGAGCATCTGGGCGTCAGAGCAACCTATCACCACATGCGAGTCATACCTGAAATTTAAAGGGCCTGAAATAGGTCAGAATTATCCACAACTGGGGCAAGTGAGTCGAAAAAGTGCATCGCTATTCGGACGCGGTTCACTCATCAAAGTGGGTCATCCAGACCACCCATTTCTCTCAGTGAAGCATTCACTTTTACACAGTAATTGTAGGTGTGTTATGAAAGGCTTCGTAAATGATTTAAAGATAAATAATGGCATCTAATATATTAAAACGCACGCCAAATTAAATAAACTTATTTTATTACCCCATTTGTTAACAACGAGTACCAAACAAAATATTGTTTTTTATTGTTGGCGCTCCAAGTATGAACGCGTTCAAGAACAGACTAGATAAAGCTATGGAAAAATATATGTTCAGATTTGAAATGCCTAGCTCCTTATCGAACCCGGTGGAAGTCTAGTAGCTTCTTCAAACTATCGCCAGTCATGAAAAGATCCGGTCAAATGACACGAGTTTAGATCTATGAACAAGGCACGAAATGGAAAAGAATCGGCGACAGGCCACATCAGGCCTACACTTCAGCGCCGACATCACTATGTTATGTTATTACCTTACTTATGATATGTAATACCAAACAAAACATTTTTTCTTCACCCTTGATGAGTTTCGTCATTATAATCGGTACTCATGCTTTTCATATGAATAATACTCTTAGTTGTCGAATCGTGAACACTCTATGTAATTGCTTAGCCTTTACTTGCACAATTATTCGCTTAGCATCCACTCGCACAGCTCGTATAATGAATATTTCCATAAGCCCTCTGCAAGTTTTAAGGTTACATGTTAATGCTATGTAATGTGTTAATACATCCGGCACTAAACTCATTAACCAAAAGTGTGTAACCATGCAACCGTAAAACTCAGGGAAGGTTAAAGGGAATAGATTGACAATAGTCATAGGCATATAGTTCCGTTATTATGAATGTTGCGCATCGTTACTTGATTTATTAAGTGATTTGTATGTAATGTGCCCTAATCTTCATCAATCGAACAAGACCGGTTTGACTGGAGTCAGGGAAGCCTGCCGAAGACCACCACTGCCCTGGATGTAATGGACTATCATGAATCCTGCCCTCCGGAACGTAGCCTTCAACACTTCTGGAAAATCATATAGGCAGCCGAAAGCCACCAGACAGAACGAATCAATTGAATTAGACCAATCAGCCCTCAGGAGAAACAGCCGGCGATCAAATGGCCTAGCATCGTCCGCCGTACCGCGAAAAAATTGTACACCACTCGGACGTAGCGCGCCGGAGCCTTGCAGCAAATGTGATATCCGCCACCAAGCCGTCCGTATCTAGGCAGTGCGTCGAACCAGCCCTTGGTCGAACGCCCGCGGGTCAAATGCTCCAGCCGAGTGCTATCCCAACCTAACCTAACCTAACCTGACTCAGCCAGTCGTACGGCTCTTTCGACCGACGGCCTGGTGGTGCACGGCAGGTTTTATGAGAGGCCGGAGGTGGGCAAATCCAAGTGGTCGCAGGCTGTTGCACGCAAGTTGCAATTCGAGCGGTGGCCAGGGTATGAAGTGATGCTTCGGCGCAACGTTCAGTGGTGGACGGCCATTTGACCCTAGGCTATTCGACCTCGTGTCTGGGGGGTGTGGAGCTCAAAATATTCAAAGCAGAAGGATGTCAATGATCGGTTACGGATAGCAGATTCCATTCACGGCTGATTGGTGGATGTCCGGAAAGATCCAAGGCGTTCGATTCAGGGCTTATTGGTGTACAAAATTTGTGGTGCACGGCTGCGCTCCCGACAAATCTATATGAATAACTTCACTCCAAGGCCAACGCGTTATTGTCTGACTGTTGTTACTATACTCTGAAAGAAGGGCCGAATAATATCCATTGATTTTCACTCACGTATGAATTACTGCATAGGAAAGTGTTATAGACCACAATTTTTATAGATTATTATTTGAATAGCAAAAATTGCCAATCTCATGAGAGATAAATGAGAATAATGAACAGTAACCCAGAGGCTACAGTTCAGATTATCTGGACGTACTTGGCCAGAGAAGTGCGGGTTCGATCCCAGCTCTGTGCGCCATGTGTAATTAATATGATAATAATTTAAATAGGCGTTAGTCGTTATGCATTAATTCTGTTAACCGTATTATTTTTATCAATTAAAACGTAAATTGTGTACGTATTAATTATATAAAATTATGTAAGGAGTGACATTCGGATCTAATATGTACATGGATTGTCCAATGTGTTTAATCAAAATTTGTATGATAAGTCGATAAGCAAGACGCGTTTTTACTAATTATAGAAATTTCGAATCAAATAAATTTGCTTTATGTATATTACTGGCTTATAAAACTGAAAGTGAATATTGATATCTCGGGAACGCAGCCGTGCACCACAAATTTTGTACACCAATAAGCCCTGAATCGAACGCCTTGGATCTTTCCGGACATCCACCAATCAGCCGTGAATGGAATCTGCTATCCGTAACCGATCATTGACATCCTTCTGCTTTGAATATTTTGAGCTCCACACCCCCCAGACACGAGGTCGAATAGCCTAGGGTCGAATGGCCGTCCACCACTGAACGTTGCGTCGAAGCATCACTTCATACCCTGGCCACCGCTCGAATTGCAACATGCGCGCAACAGCCTGCGACCACTTGGATTTGCCCATCTCCGGCCTCGCATTAAACCTGCCGTGCACCACCAGGCCGTCGGTCGAAAGAGCCGTGCGACTGGCTGAGTCAGGTTAGGTTGGGTTAGCACTCGGCTGGAGCGTTTGACCCGCGGGCGTTCAACCGAGGGCTGGTTCGACGCACTGCCTAGATACGGACGGCTTGGTGGCGGATATCACATTCGCTTCAAGGCTCCGGCGCGCTACGTCCGAGTGGTGTACAATTTTTTCGCGATGCGGCGGACGATGCTAGGCCATTCGATCGCCGGCTGTTTCTCCCGAGGGCTGATTGGTCTAATTCAATTGATTCGTTCTGTCTGGTGGCTTTCGGCTGTCTATATTATTTTCCAGAAGTGTTGAAGGCTACGTTCCGGAGGGCAGGAGTCATGATAGTCCATTACATCCAGGGCAGTGGTGGTCTTTGGCAGGCTTCCCATCACTCTCTGGTTTTCTGACGCAACCACTAGCTGAACATGATCGATGTCCAAACAAACGTGCAAAGACAATGTTAAATGTTAGCACGTTTTTCATGAGGTTAATTTCAAAAACATAATTCTTAGCACGGATTTTTAATGTTCTGATTTAGGCTTTCTTGAAATTCGTAACTCGCTACTGAAGGGTTTGATGTAGCTGCTCGCGTGTCCGCAATCCGCATCATGAGAGACGTGAAGTGTAGTGAGTGACTTTATCTGTGAAAGAAGGTAGGTACGACGAATTCAGTATAGCCTTACATGCATAGTGGCAAAGCAGAGAGTTTTTTTAGACTCTCCCTCAAGTTCATTTTTGAGTCCTATACATAGTGGCAAAGCAGAGAGTTTTTTAGACTCTTTCCTCAAGTTCATTTTTGAGTCCTATAAGTAGACCAGTAAAGTATCTTGGATACCAGAATTTTCATACATAAGAAATCTGTTAAAATCTGGAGTAAATGAGGAAATTAAAAATGTGCTGATTCTAAAAAATCACTGGTTTGCCACTATGGTCCTATAAGTAGACAAGCAAAGTATCATGGATACCAGCATTATCATATATAAGAAATAGGTTTAAATCTTGAGTAAATGAGGAAATTAAAAATGAACTGATTCTAAAAAATCTCTGGTTTGTCACTATGATTATCATACTTAAGAAATTGGTTTAAATCTTGAGTAAATGAGGAAATTAAAAATGAACTGATTCTAAAAAATCTCTGGTTTGTCACTATGCTTACATGTAATGAATTATTTCTGTTGATGTGCTTTCTAAGGGCTTTTGGCCATTACTGTTGAAATTGTAGTTCTATGGGCACGGTTAAATTTATCCATGGCCAGGGGTGAAATTATCCATGGCCATTGGCCACGGGTGAAATTATGCATGGCCACGGGTGGAATTGGACCACGTGCACGGGTGATTTTTGCTCTTCTACCAGTTCTACAGGTGGCTACTGCCCATTATTCCAGTCTGGATTGGCTGGCATGCCTGGTAACATATATTGATATATAAGCTATGTGCTATCACTGCTAATAGTACTATGATAAGGAAAGTTAGTTTGCTATGCTTTGATGGTAGTCTGGTAGGCTAGACTGACACTAATAGTAATAATAATTAGTAATGGAAATCAAAAATTCAAATTTGGCAAAACTGCAAAATCTTAATTTCAAATGAATGATTTTGTAGAACGCCTTTAGACTAGGATTGATATAACTTTAAAATCATTCTGGAAAATAAACAAGAGCAAAACAACTCATAGATAGATTAGGCAAATTTCAATTCTCATTTACTACTTATTAAATATTTAGCAACTGGCTCTCATCACTCGTAAGAAAATTTAGGTATGTACTTCAAAGTGCATACAGAAAAATTCCCTAAATTAAAGATAAATTTGCAATCACTTTGATGACAAACGGTAACAATAACGAAGAAACATATTTTGTGAGACATAGGCAATTTCAGAGTACCTAGGCAAAATGATCATTACCATCGAGAACAAGAGCGTCGAGGTCACTGACATCTCGGGTCAACGAAAATCTCCGACGCTGCGGAAAGGAAGAAAGGCTGCATTATTTGGTACACATAAGGTGATGAATAAAATGATCTAAACAACGGATACTATGTTGATAAAATGGAAAATCATTTATATTGGCTAAATTAATATAGGAGCTCTTAAATGGATCCAATAAGTCATCGTTTACTTGAAGCATATTCAAAACTTTGAAAGACGCATATAGTAGATAGGTTAAAACATTATCCCATTTTATTACAAAATGTTTCTTGCTTATTCAATTTCATACTGCTAACACATGTGAAATAAATTTAATAATAAATGTAAGACGACCTCGTGATCCGTTGCAATAAATAACGAATAAGGAGAAAAAATATTTGTACCTATCTAGTAAGAGAGGTAATATTCTCTTTCAACAACTGTTAATTTGAGTTTAAATCCTACTGTAGTAATCGTTTAGTACAATCGACCGGAAAGGTGTGATATTTATAAGAAGCCAGTTAACAGAAAAGTCAACAACCACGTAACTCGCGCGTCACCATTACCCGCAGCAAAGGGAGGGTTCTCAGAGTTGTTTTAGAAGTTTAAATGTCAGGTTGATGAAGTATGTTAAAATCGAGATTGGAATTAACTCTGTAATCATTAAGATTCTATTTTTCGTGGTCATAGAAGATTGTATGAAATGTGTCTTCCAATGACAAAGATCGTTTGAGTCTTAAAATGGAGGAGGGGTCTTTGTGCATCAGTGTGGATGGTGTGTGTCTTGAAATGAGGGAGGAGGGGGTGTCGTGAGCGCGGGAGAGTTGCGGGGGTTACATGGAGAAGCCGGAGGGTCAGGCCCAGCAAGCCATCCAGTGTTCATTGTTCGGTCGCTCGTGTTGGTGTGAGGTGGTGCTGTCGCATCACGGACCTGCATGGTATTGTGCATCGTAATTTCTTCCCTCGAACGGTAGCAATTGTATTTAAACCATAGTTCACAAGGAGTGCAGCTCCTGTATTTTTTCAATTATTTTTTGTAAAGTATTTTCTGCGTAGTTGGTTGTCGTACGAATTAAGGAGGGACCCTCAAACAAGCAAGACCTTGATACATCCCCAAGGTCACAGGTACCCCGTCGCCTGACGATGGTTAGGTGTAGTAGTTCTTTGTTCCGAGCGCGTGTGCGTTCTCGAGAAACAACGCGGATTTCCACCCGCCACATCGCGTGTTTCATTGTCATACTTGATTGGTTTGGTCTTAAAAAATATTTGCATACTTGAACAATCTTTTATGAACACCGTAGCTTGAAATATCCTTCTAAACCTTCACCTGTTCTAAAAAGTGGAAAATTCTTCGCTTTAATATTTTGCATGTTTGGTGTATCGGTAAGGAGCTACATCTTGCTAACTGGGCTTGTTTCATAATAAGTTTATGAGAGTAATTATTTAAAATTGAAAGGATTTCTGGTTGATAACTTGGGTTTCGAATGACTGCATGCCTTCACCGTATTTGTAATTTCTTAATTTTTTTCGCAGGATAGGAGTTGCTTTCAATTAAAATTATTATTTATCTTTAAAAACAGCATGAACTATGTGCATGAAAGTCTAACTGCACGATAATCCTCGCCAACAGTATGATAACTGCATCGCCTGCTGAAGCTATCGTTAAAGCTCAATCATAGATTTTTTGCGACAAATCACATATTTTATAATTCTCATAGGTGCAGTTAATTGATTGTGGGTTTCAAAATCCGCGGAATTGTGACGTTATTTCTTCACGGACATGGAGTGCGTTTCCACGAGATCATCACATGGCCAAAAAATTATGTCTGATGGAAATTAGATTGGATGGATATTGGGTATTTTCCGCAATTATAAATAGGTGTATTTCTAATATCAAATATTTAACTCAAGTACCTATAAAGGTTGACAACGGCGAAAACATAAATGTTTGACTGACTCAGAGGAAATTCACAAGTATAAAAACTGGCGATTTTTTGAAAGTTTGAACCACCTAAGTTTTGCTTGCTGCAGATACTTGATATCAATTCCCACACCTAACGCTGAAGCATTGCTAAATTTATTTGATAATGAAGACGTTGTTGCACTGAAAGGAAATTCTTGCAGCGTGATTCTCGGTAGCGAAGCTGAGGCTGCGCGACCGTTCTTGGAACCAAGCCCTGATGACGCGCTCATGCCGAAGTCTTAATCAACTGCAACGACATTCACATATATATTCCATTATTATTGCATACATCCTTGATTCAAATTACCAAATGATCCATTTCGGAGACTGCTAAGAATGCATGTGAATTTTAGTTTACAAATTTCTTGTACTTACTTTTTAGAATTGTCGAAATGAATGAAGATTGAGCTGGACTCCTGAACGTTTCCTTTTATGCAGATACGGTGAATTTCTATGCCATTTACTTTGATTTTGTATTGCCGCAGACTTGGAATAGGACGTGAACAAAGCTGATTGAATACTTGAGTACCGATGACGCATCATAAAAAATTACTTGCTATCATGATAAAAATGTATTTATGGTTTATTTTTTCTACGAAAGATATTTCACGAAAAATTAGATCTCCAATGATTGAAATGTAGACAACAATTACTATCTTTCATGACATGCAACGGATATGATATTACTTATGAGAGAACTATAATAAATTTCTATATTATTGCATTTATCGAAACATAAACTTCTACTCTGCACTTCTTGCGCTTTCCCCTTTGTGACACTTAACTAATTGAAATAATAATTTGTTTAAGATTTCAGTGGTTTTCGGTTATACAATAACTCGCAATCTTCCTTCCAAATTTACAAATCAATTTTTTTGCACAAAATGACTGTAATCTTGAATTGTCTCATTAACAATCATAACAATATATCATAGGTTTACGGTTGACGTTATCAGCTATTTGACATCTAAAACCTTCTTTCGCCATATCGATGTTTCTACGCTTTAATGTAATTTTTTACATATTCTTAAGTTTCAGAGCAACCTCTGTTTTAACAGGATTATTTCTGATTTTTTTTGGGGGGGGATTAACCAAAATAACACTAAATGTAATGGGATTAACCCAAATAACACTAAATATTTTGGGATTAACCCAAATAACACTAAATATTTTGGGATTAACCCAAATACCACTAAATATTTTGGGATTAACCCAAATACTACTAAATATTTTGGGATTAACCCAAATACCACTAAATACATGGCCAATGTCTAACCCGGATTACCAGTCCTAAGGTGACGTCAGTGAAGGAACGTTACCAGCTTGTGCCGTCCGGATCCCTTGTGAATCAAGCCACGAAAAGTACAAGTATCGGCAACAGGCCATGGGCCTATTTCTTCAACGCCGACACTTCTATTCTATTCTATTTCTCATGTAACTTACATCTTTTCGCCCGAACAAAGACTGTGTCAACTTTCAGAAATGTTAATAATTGTGAAATTGCCCAACGCCGCTGATGTTATCATAACCTTGCTTGTCATACGATGGAACATTAGAAGATGAATGGTGAAACTTGACATATATAAAGAAAATAATTATTGGCAACGAGAAGCTATAGTAAATTCAAGACGTCGACAATTATTTGAAATTTAAGCTCCATCTATCAATTCTGCATTGAAGATTGCAAGCAGTACACGCACCATGAGGAGACATGGGATCGTGGTTGGGTAGGTGGGGGTCTAGTGATGAGCTTACCATACATGACTAGATCCACACTTATCCAATAGCGGTCCCACATTCTACGACCTCTACCATGCAGCACCGGTCCACCAGTGATGGATTACCATGACTTCGTTGAAAAATCAAATTCCAACTGAGCAGAAAGGGAGAGCGTGTGAAGCATCAAGATCTTAATTGAGGTATTGCCAATGGTGAGTTACGATTAATTCTGTCTGGAATCACACCAAAATTGTGTAGTTTTGATGAGAGTGAAGTTGTGTGCTCACAGTTACGTTGAATTTTACTCGCATCGCAGGTTAGAAACTTTGCGAAATTAGCTTCTTGTTCGCCTCTTAATCGTTTATTATCCTAAAGCTATATTTTTGAAGTCGTTCTAATAATGTTTTGATTATGGCCAATTGCGCAGATTTTGACCTCTCACGGCTGAGTTATTTGAAGAAGTTATTAGGATAATTGCTAATTGTTGATAAATTATTTATTTCCTAAATAATCAATTATACCGGCGCGCTAAAACTCATCCCCATTGACAACTGGTGAAAAATTATCTATTATTCCTACATTCATTTGCGGTGCGGGTGCCGCCATAACCAGGTTCACTCCTGCTCTTTATCTCGCTCTTATTGCGCAGTTTGCTCGTAAATTGTTCTTCGTCCCAACCCTCATGACAGCCTGCGTACCCTATACCCTCGACTGGTGTCTTCAATAGCGCTCATCAGTACACCCGTAGCTCGCTCAATTATACCCTCACTCTACCCTCAGTTTCTTGTTCCCAGCGTGTAATGGACGCAGCAGCATGAGGGCGTATAATTGTTGTGCCTATAAGACACCAGAAATGATATAGCATTTTATGAATGAAGATAAATAAGACCATGCATATCGCTGTTTACGGTTATGTAAGTGCTATGCTAAAAGTTTTTAGTTTTTATTTATTTCAGCGCATCTGAAGTATTATATTGATAGAAGTATGTGAATTATTAATGGCTATAATTAACTAATTGTCACGAGAAATTAATAACAAAGGTTATACCTAATTTTTTTGATAATTTTTGCCTCTTTTGAATATAATTTTCTGGCTGCAGAATTTTTAGCTACATTGGCATGTTTGTATGATCTCTAATGTTTATGACTGAGCTGTATGATGAAAATGAGTAAGCTTTAGCTACACGAAAACTATGATTCAGACTGCGTCATAAATGTAAAGTTCACGGTAAATTGTAAGAAGTAAAGTGTTAGATTTAAGTCACTTAATTTTCACTTTAAAAACGCCTACGATTTTCACTGCAAAGAATTCGTTCATCGAATGTATAAGAACTTGAACATGCATAAAGCTACGAGTTCATCTGAACCTG